AATTTACAGGTGAAGCTGTGGCCTATGGCCTGCGCATTGTCTCCATCAACGAAGGCCCGAACTACAGTCTCGCAATTTTTATTGCCCAAAGCAACCCTACGCTTCTTGGGCCAGCCTTGTTCGCAGCATCTATATACATGTGTCTCGGGCGGGTCATTATCGCCACAGAGGGGGAGTGTCTATCACCCATAAGAGTTGAGTGGCTCACGAAGTTCTTTGTTGCAGGTGATGTGTTGGGATTGCTTGTACAAGGCGCTGGTATATTGACATCCTTTCTGTGTTCGATCTCTGGTTTCTTATAATACGTAGGTGCAATATTACTTCCCATGGGAACTCTACAGTATTACTACACCGGCTCAAACATCATCATCGCCGGACTAGGAATCCTGGTCCTCTCCTTCGGCGTCTTCATGACCACGACGGCAGTATACCATTTCCGTTTGCTTCGGCGGCCTACTACGGCTTCACAGGATGCAGGCCTAAATTGGCGAAGAGAACTGCGTGTACTTTACGCGACGAGCGCAATGGTTTTCGTCAGGAGCGTGTACCGATTGGTAGAGTACTCGCAGGGGAACGCTGGTTGGCTGATGACCCAGGAATGGAGTTTGTATGTTTTAGATGCGGCACTCATGTTTGGCGTACTTTTGATCTTCAATATTTGGTATCCAAGCATAGTCAAGATCATCAAGGAGGACGCTTTCTGACAGACTATTTTGTCACTGGCGTGTGGTAAACTGGGAAATTGCAATATCCAGGCAATATCAATTCAGCGGTCAAGTTCTGTGATCTTCTCCACCTCCCTACATCCACTACCAATTTAATTATAGATCTTATCAGGGATGCAATTTGTTTGATTCGTGTATAACCCTGAGAAAGTATTCCAAACAGCATCTCGCTTAAGCAGAGGCTAAAAGTTCCCTAGTCAAGTTTACAATAAATAAATATCACGTTGACTGTTTCTCTTCCTTCTTGGCCCTTCCCCCCAGGATTCGTCAACATCTAGTGTTACGCTAGATACTACTCCACTACGGCAATCATTACCTCTCCCTCTCACTTCGCGGGGTCCTTCAGATAGCACGATCATTCCATCCGTAGTCTCCCAAGTTCCAAAATCCAGGGGCAACGATTCCGCACAACAAGGCACCGTCACAATTGCCATCACTGTATGTTCCTCGGGTCTCAATTTCGACTTGTTGATCAGATTACATTGTCTTTGAAAGAGAGTGTTCAGGCTAATTAGACCACCAGAGGAGGTATTCTCACACGGGATTCAGCAGCCAGCCCCCTTAGGTGGGTCAAGCGAAGTGATCACATCATTCTACCTGTTGCAGAAGTTATATATCAGCACTTCAGCTCCACTCAAATATATCTCGTCATCCACGATGCTCGATGCTCGCTTTAGTAGCCTCGGTACATTGAATTGCGGCACTTTTGCTTCTGGTCAACAATCCTCTAGCACCTCCCAGTAAAGTTTCCATCCTGACAAACGTACAGAGAGGTAACCAGCTCGCGTTTATTCCTGACAACAGTATGGGCGATTAGAATCTGGACGAGCAAGGCCAAGTTCAAATAGAAAGTGTAGCATTGACATCACCCTGAAACGAAAAGCGATAAATTGCTCCGGATCTCCAGCATGCAGAGACTAGGAATTTTTATGTGGCATAGCCCAGATGCACAAACGGGCCAGGGAATAGGTAAACCATCGGATATTTTTCGGTTTGACTTGTGGTAGGTGAGCCTTGATACTGACAGGAGAGCTTGTGCTAAAACTCATGCTTGGTGTATATACACTCTCACAGGTGCAGTGATCATGGCAGTCAACCACCAGGAGTTACGGGGGAGGGAAGTCGAGCCTCAAACCGAGGCTTTAGGCCGGGATATGGTGTACTTTAGCCGGCTTTCCGAGGCGCTCTTAAGACATACCGCTGATGAGACGTGGCAAACCGTCTTGGGTCAAGTCGCGGAAGGCGTTACGGAGCAGACTTACGTTTTCACCTCTCGAACTCGCGGGAACAAGACTTTCCGAATCTTGATGCTGGAGCAAAGGGCATATTATATAGGATCATGAATCTGGACCGGCGGAGAGAGCTACTATTGAGAAGACCATAGATGACCTATTTTAGAGATAAGTGGGAATCAGGAGGTGCAGCTCTATGTGCGGATGAAAATCAACGTCATTTTTACGAAAAGAAGACTGCTTAGGAGAATCGATGTTTTGTTTTATGATTGGGAGGTTAAGAGCTGGAGGTTGTCTCAAATACCTTGCCCCGGACTAAGCGGACTTCGTATCAGGGTGTGTTGTCAATCTCCTCTGCGATCATTGACTGAGCTTGAATTCTTGCACCGGTAAATCTTCACAGTGATTCCTCACAACTTGCGAGCCCTTGAAAAGTGGAAGAATATCACCATGGCATCCCCCTCGGCTTTTGAAGATGGCGTATGGCACTTGGGGAATGGGCAAAATGGGAGTTTCCTGCCTGAGCAAGGCTGCATTATCTATGGATAGGTTGGATCCGAAAATTTAAGTGCTTCATTATTAAGGTAGAGAGTATATTGAGGTATTTGTAAAGTATTATTATCTTACTACCCAATTAACGTCAGACGTAGTTTATACTGGCCCTGTCATAGCTATCATGATTCATCCAATTCAAACCTATTGTTACTAAATAGGCTCTTACTTGACTAAGGCGCTATCGACATTATTTTTCCACCACTGCGGGAAGTCAAGAACTGCCTTGCTTCTCCTTGCCTCCTCAGCCGCGAAGACCATGGCATGACTCCTGATAACCTCCTCTAGGCTGCAACCGACATGTATCCTCTGTGCCTCTTCAACATCTACGTTATGGTTCTTTACTGCATCAACAGCAAGAATGAATTGCCTAGCAAGTCCATCGTCACCACCTCCATGTCCTCCCCCAGCCAAGAAAGGCTTGTATATCTTCTTCGTGCCAGTATTGAAGTCTTCAACTGTGATAGTCTCGCTGTCGGCGTATATCTCTCCATCGGTGCCATAAATATTACTGTACCGTTCACAGATCTTTTTGGTGTGGGCTACCATGTGGAAGACGGCAGTTTTGGCCCCTCTGCCTTGCAGAGAATTCTCGTTGTCGGGGATGTCTGGAAGGGGATCGTTGTCCCAACTCATAGTGACAATCTGATCATCACAAACATCGTTGTCGGCCTCGTAGACACATCGACCAAACCAATTCTTGGAGGATATTTCTGATACGGGGGTCTGTGTAGTGTAATCCTCCTCCAGTTTGGCCAGTAGAGCAGATTCTCCGCCCGATGCCCCACCAGTAATAATGCATTCTTCGATATCTGGGACAACAATGTAAACTGGCCATCGAGTGTTCCCTGACCTCAGACCCCTGTGACCAGGCTCGAGGTAGATTTTCTTGGCCGAGTACTTGCAAGACTTCTCGATTGGACAAGAGAGGCAGTTCGTGGCAGACCCCGCCGCCGTTGGCTTCCTTGACCTGTTGAAATAATGCAGAGCTCCAGAAGAGGAAACAGTACTTGGGAGATGAGCTGGCTGGGTGGAATTGGGGGGTGAGGAACAGAGCATCCATAGAAGTAGGTCAATATCATGGCAAGATTTCGTGAGGAGTGATGGCGCCGTGGTGGATTCATTTCGCCAATTGCCCCTGTGACTGTTAAGTAGTTACTCCTCTTATTGGAATGACTTAATCACCTAACATAACTATGGGCAAAATGCCACCAGCCAACCGGTTCTGTATGATTGATGGACAAAATATCACCAATCACTCTATCCTCCAGCAACAATTTCCGAAGCAGAATGTTATGCGGGCTATACCTCAGTACATGACCAATCGAGAAAACCTTAGAAGGGGTAGTATTCGGGAGATCCGAGAGAAGTGATTTGTATATCGAAACACAATCCTCCAGGCTGGTTGCTAATGGTTTCTCGCACATGATATGTAGACCGAGGGATGCCAACCCGACAATTACCTCCATGTGCTGTTCATCTAGCACGCAGATAAAGGCGGCATCGACTCCTTCTGGAACATCCTCTCCTCTGGCGGCGTTTGCTCGTCTTTCTTGTTCCCAGATTACGAAGTCTCTCCAATCTGCAAATTCCTGCCCAGCCGATGGTCCAGCTTTGCCCCAAATGAACTTCTGCCCAAGTTGACGTCTCTTATACGGAATGGGCTCTGCGACGGCAGCAATGACCCCATTGGTTGATTCACCAGTAGCTCTAGCATATCCATTGCCTCGAGAACCAGCCCCAATGATAATGATGCGGGGAGGATTCAAGGACATTGGAGGCCGTGGAGGAGCGTCGAGGCGGACGACATCTTCGTTTGGTGTGGGAATATCAGCATGAGGAGCCATTTTGATTTACAACTGTCTTGGTACGATGTGTTAAATTACTGCCAGATGTGGGAACCATTCAAGTCAAGGAGCTACTCAAGGAACTTGAGAAGTAAGGAGGCCCGCCTCAAAGCCGACGATTATTGAAGAGGCAGCCGAGTACTAGGCTCGCAAACGCATGGGGACGGTACGTATGCAACGTTGCAAACGAACCACACCGCTCTGATTTGAATAGCATACGTTACTAGAACTTCCCATTTGACATGGTGCTCGACGTTGTTCCTCTCCAATCATGCTCTTCCAAAGGTGGGAGGCTGTGACAATTCCATTAAGATGACGGGATGTCGGTTGATATTCGGTGCTTGATGGTTTCCTTACTTCGTTACACCCAACGTCTCACCTAGGGCTCAAAATGACGGGAATGGAACCAATAAAAATCCTTCACAACGAATCCTGAGAGCTTCATAAGGGAGAAAAATTTGCATATAGAGTTAGAAGAGACGAAAACAGTTGTATTTGTACTTCGAAAGGCAAAAGCGAGTAAGCCTCGCTTATTTACCGGCATCCCTACAAAGGAGAAAAACTGGCCTGAGACCCCTCCTCCCGAAACAGTACTCATACTTACTAAATAATATAAAAGTTGCAAAAATTTACTACTCTTGCACCGACCCAGACGGGACTCGAACCCGCAATCTTTGCCATGTTCAGGGAACCGGAAAGCAACGCCTTACCATTAGGCCACCAGGCCGCTTGATCCCAGTCAGTAGCTTATTATGCAATATATTACATTTTCGCACTCCACAGTGTGGCAGGAGAAGGCTTCTCATTGGTCAGTAATGATTTTCATCGACCAGATTTACTATAAAGACAAACAAGGCAAGAAGTTTGATTGTGGCTAATGTTAAGGCGCTGTTTTCCGGCTTCCTGAACATGGCTGCTCCGGAGAATTTCTATAGACGTGGAGTTACCGGATGAGTGTTTTAGATGAACTTTCGGGAGAGATTTTTTCAAGGAGGGGGAAAATGGCACCTTCTCCTCGGTAAAGAGAGGCAGACTAATCCCTATGCTTTTGGGGGAGAACCAACCTGAATCCCTGTTCTCTAGTCAGGGAAAGAAGTCTATTCTCCCTTCGTCTGGTCGACATTGAAGCTAGTCGTATGTTCACGTCTTCGTTATAAATCGAAGCTGATAATCTACAGTCTGCCTATAAGTGCAAGTTCCTATATCCGCTACTGCGGTGCTGCATTCTGTCTATGAACAACGTAGCCGCCGTGACGCCGTGTCAATGACAGGAGCACATCTTTTAAAGAGAGAAGCCGTGAGTATCAGGGTCTAATTTCTCGCTTGTTTTTGGGAGTCGAGTGGAGATTTATATCAGTTCTTTCCTTCTTTGTATAGCCTCGAAGTTGATTGCCCTGCCTATGATTAGACAACCGAGTCCACGATTTAGAACCTCACTGTCTAGTTAGCCTGGTTGCATAAAGCATAGTAACCTTCCGAGGAATAAAGGGAGTTCTTGGCCACTTTTGCCATCCTCGTCAATGTAAAGTAGACTGCTACATATGATACAGAGTCGAGATTTATTGCATGTGTTGACGGAGAGTGTTTTCAGTTGGAAGACATAGAAAGCACAAGAGAGCTTCGAGGAGATCGTCCAACATGCAATGGAAACTTCACCATGGTGACCCGATTCAGGTATCCCAGGATTGTCCACCCTCTTCAACTTGAGGACATCCTCAAATTCGCAGTCAATTCACCGGACGCTCAGTAAATTTGGGCGTTCGGCGAATCTCATCGACTCTTGGAGATAATATTGAGATAGTAGGCGCTACCCTCCAGTCAGTCTCTAAACAACTGGGATGATTATGCTCTTTTGAGCCAATGAAACAACATGAATCTCTGAAAAATTGGCTGTTATCAACAGAGTGGGGAATTGTGGTTTCTCTGGGCTATATAGAGACCAAAGCTGATTATTTCCCAAGTTAGAAGAGTCAGTTCTATCTTAGAATCCCCGAAAGAGATCATCGTCGTCCATCTCACCTATCTTATTTTTATAGTCTCACATCTGCCTAGGTAATAAGTGACCTTGTATATTTAATTTGTTTCTAATTTATTAGATCCGACTTCTAGCCCCTTATTGAGAGTTGAAGTCAATTTCTTGAAAGATATGCCAGCTGCTATCAGAAAAAGACACATTACTAGTGTGCTCGCTTGAAGTTGACAGTGAAGGATCCCGCTCGCAGGGCAAAGATAGAATCATATAAGGGTTTGCAGCAATTTTCGTGGCAAGTACACCCAAGATCTTCCTAGGAATGCTAGAGTCAAAACAAATGCCCCCTTAAGGAGAAGATACTTTGATTTATCTCTTGTGATAGCCACTGCATCTGACTGGATTATCCTAGATATCCAAGGATAGTAAAGCTGATTATTCTCCAAATACAGGTAAATTAAAGGCGACCATGACACTCGAGGAAACCTGAAAGGAGCTACTACTTTGCCACTCGGAATATTGTACAACATTTATCATAATATCAACAACGGATCTTGAGTGTTCAGTAGGCGGCGTAAGTGGATTCGACAGTTTTGAATTTTGTGTAGATCAGCTCTAAAACCTTGGGCGCTCAACTCCACCCCTATGCTCGAACCTCAACCCAAATCATACACCATAATAACCACCAGCATCATAATACCACTCATAACATCCAATTACACCCCAACCGAGTCCAGACCAATGATACATCCTGAACGTGAATGCTTTAGAGCCGCGTCATCTCTAGTTCCAACAAGATCCAAGCATACCAATATACAAACACAAATTAATACAATACAAAAGCAAGGAACACGCTCGCTCGCAAAAACGAAGGTGCAAGAAATAGAGAGGCATCTATCGCTATAGCAATGCTAAACAGACATTAACGGATTAGGTAGGCAAATAAATATCATCCGGTGACTCTCCGGACCCATAAACCAGTCGGCTCGTATGTTGCCTCTTTGTCCTTCCGCTTCCAGGCGCGATGAAGTCGAAGTCCAATTTCGTGTTCCTGCTGTCGCACATCTGCTTCTTCCTCTCGCAGCCCTTCAACCTTTCGCTTCTCGTTCTCCCGTTTTCTTCGAACCTCTGTAGTCAAAGTAATGTTATCGGCGGGCATCAGCTCGGTCATCTGACGAATGCTCCTCGTGATGTTATTTTTCCTATGTTGAAGATCGTCGAGCTGGGCTTGCAAAGATGTTACAAGATCTTGGGACTCGACCTCGGCAGGTGTACTAGGTAATGACTTGCCACCGATCTTGGACGCACGTTTGTTGGTCATACTGATGAATATGGGCGAGGCTGTATTCACTGCCTTCCGAGTGACACCATTTCGAGGACCTGCACCAACTTTCGGCCGCACGCGATTGAGGACTGAGTCTGGAGAGGAACTTTGGTATTGTGTAGGAGGAGATGGCATTGGTGGCGGTGGTTCGGATGCAGGTTCGAAGGTATCGGTGGAGGGTCTCGGTGTACTTCGTGCTTCAGACGCTGCGTATGTTGAAAAGCTGAAGCGCGATGGAGGCTGGATATAGGGCTCTTCCGTTGCTTGGTACTCTAGAAACATTTTCTCCTCCTGGCGGACTGGATGCTCCTGATGCCGAGTCTCAATTGGAAAATTCTCTCGCACTTGGTTTCTTCCACCTTGATTTGCTACACTCGAGATGAAAGTAGAGATATCATTGACTCGTGGGGAGACTTCAGCATTGTCTAAGTCAGGGTGTGCAGATTGGACGACCCGTTCACTATGAGCCGATCCAGGATCTGTTTCATGGCCACTTCGAGGTAAATGCGGAGACATTGCAAGCGGAGACATCATCGTGGTACCAGGCCCAGAAGTAGGCGAATGAACGTGTTGGGGATCCTTTCGAGGAATACTAAGGGGTGGTATGTCCAATCTGTCTGCCGGGGTAGTGACAAGAGTTACACGACCGCTTGCTCCTTTCCATTGCGGTTTCGACTCGGGCACGGGAGCGTTCGCCAATTTCCGTACTCGTTCGCCAAAAGATATCGGTTTCTTCACGGTCGCAGCACTGACATTCGACTCATTGCCAAAAAATACACCTGTGGCTCCGTGGACAGGACGCAGTCCTGTCGGGGTAAATTCGCCTGGCTTCGTTGTCTGCTTCTTCCCCCTTTCGCTCGTCGTTGGCTCTCCTGAATAAGGATCCCAACTTGGGTTTTTGGCTGGTCTACCTCCACCGCCAATCTCCTTCCGATTCACTAAATTTGCCGCTGCCGCTGCAACTTGATTACGCCTCTTTTCTCTTCGTAAGACTGGAATACTGCTTGATGCTCCCTTCACGTTGGCGTCTTGTCTACTACTAGGCCTGCCCATTCCAAGTTTTGATATGTCGGGCATCTCGTCGATCGGAGAGACCTCTTCGTCTATAGGCTGTGTCTGGCTTCTGCAACCTGGTCAGCAAAATTCCGAAAGCATTTGAGCGGCAGACATGAGGAGGTAGAGGGGAAAGGCAGGATGATCCTGGCAGAGAATGCGAAGGTCTAGACGAGTGTTCTTGCAAGGCATCTGCGTTGGTGATTGGATAGGAGGTTCATGAAGCAGCTCCAGAGCATGCTCCCGATCTATTCTGAGAAGATCCGACATACCTCTTTCTAGCATCAAATTCCGGAGAGCTTGGAGGGGAGACTTCTTCGTTTGTATACGGCGAATTCGGGGTCAAGGGTGAGTTCTTTGAGAATTTCGTAACGATTGGAGTGGGTGACGGTTGGGAATAGATTGAAGAAACTGGTCGGAATTTCGAGCTTCGCTGTTCCGGCGGAGAGGGAGGGGCAAGTTCACTGTTCTGCTGTCAGTTGTAGTCTTGGATTTGTTGCACATGGACGGCAGAAGATTGAAGTGGTGATCCAGTAGGGACATCGGCTGAATGGAGGTGCTTTGTATGATCAGGGTGGGATGACCCCTGAGCTTCACCGCACAAAGAGAGAAGACTTACAAAGGTAGACGTGGTAGACCCTTCGACTCCATCTCGTCTCTTGGTGGGCGTGGCGGCGGGGATACAGGACTATGTATTTCTATGCCTAGACCGTGGGATCGTGGGTGTGGTTGCGAGTGTCCATCGTATCTGGACTCAGGGAAAGTGGTCGTTGGCGTTGGCTGCCGAGCGCCCTTAGGATTGTTCAGCCTCTTCCACATTATGCGGGCTTATAATATAGCGTCGAGCTTCGAGGTGTGTGATAGTCGCCGGGGTTCGACGGATGAGACAAATCCAGGTGCTTAACGAGAGACTAATCGCTCCGCGCAAGAGACCGGCGTGGAGCACTGGAACCGGGTTCGAAGTTGGAAGACAACAATGCTGGAGTCGTGACAGAAAAAGATTTGGAAAGGAACGAGGTTCTCCTGAGCTTGGAGTGTGTCGAGTTCGCATGTGTGTGTCGCCGTCAACCAAGTGTGTTTGTTGAAAGGAGTAGTGGGCTGTGCCAGCAGTAGGATTGCATGCGTATCTGGCTATGCAAGTGTGCGCGAGGACATACGGTAATGACAGGAAGAAGTCAGGAACAAACAGATCGACTGTGAATGTTTACGTGGAAAGGAGTGAATGGTAAAGGCACGACCGAGGCGCGAGGCGTGCTGTGTGCTTGGTGCAGCCGCGTGAAAGAAGAGGTGGAGTGCGGAATAGCTTCGTAAACATCAACTGGCAGAAGCAGAGTTCCTCAGTATGCCAGTCATGGACCGTTCTTCCTACTACAGTACTCCT